ACTCCTAGTATGGCTCTTGAAGTGTCGGTTCCTCAGGTTGATCTTCGTACTCTAGTAAGAAATCCGCTACTGACTGCCCCTTGTGAGATACCTTCGGTGCATAGGTGATGTCAAAAGAGCTAAGTTCAATAGCCCATTTTGTAATTCGACCAGACAGGTCTGGTTTAGCTAGGATAGCTCGTATAGGGTGATTTGTGAGTACCACTATGCTGTGAGACTCGAAGTAATGTCGAAGTTTCCTCTTGGCATAAATTAACGCCAGGATTACCTTTTCCGTCTTGCTGTACCGTGTCTCGGCATCCGTCATCGTTTTGCTTGTGTAAAAGATTGGGTGCTGAAACTTGCCTCCTTCTTTGATCAACACTGCGCTCGTTGCTATAGCTGATATTGCTAAGTACAGGATGAGAGTGTCTCCGGGCGTTGGAGCAGAAAGGATCGGGGGTTTCGTCATGTAGCTTTTTAATTGATTGAGAGCTTCCTGCTGCTGAGGTCCCCACATATCTTTGTTTTTGGATCGAATAGCATCAAAGAAAGGTTTATACTTATCAGATAATCAGGATATGAACCGGCTGAGAGCCGCAATTCGGCCGGTTAGAACTTGCACTTCCCTGCGGGTTTTTGGCTCCTGGTTCTGTATGAGTGCCTTTGCCTGAGCTGGGCTTACTTCTATTCCTCTTTTATTTACGACGTGCCCGAGGAACTGTCCTGATGAGACGGCGAAGGAGCACTTAGTGGGGTTCAGCTTCATACTGTACCTTTTGAGAGTATCAAAGACTTCCTGGAGGTGCTTCGGGTGGTCCTCTTTCAGTATACTCTTGACCACCATATCATCGATATAGGCTTCAACTGTGTTCCCCAGCAGATTATTGAAAATTTTATTGACAAGTCGCTGGTAGGTGGCTCCGGCATTCTTTAGGCCGAAGGGCATCACTCTGTAGCAGTAAGTGCCCGTCTCTGTAATGAAAGCGGTTTTCTCCTCATCTTCAGGATTCATGGGAATCTGATTGTAGCCGGAGTATGCATCGAGGAATGTGAGCCTCTCATAACCTGTCGTAGCATCCACCATTTGATCAATTTTGGGCAGAGGGAAGCTATCTTTTGGGCAAGCTTTGTTAAGGTTGGTATAATCTACGCATACCCTCCATTTCCCATTCTTCTTTTGAACGACTACTACATTTGAGAGCCACTGTGGGTACTGCACCTCTCGAATGAATCCTGCTTGTAATAGCTTATTTACTTCCTCGGCTATTATGCGATTCCGTTCAGGTGCGAACCGTCGGTGCCTCTGCTTGACCGGCCTGAATTTTGGGTTAACCCTCAAACTATGGCATGAGACCATAGGATCGATCCCCACCATGTCCGAGTGATCCCAGGCAAAGACATCTGAATTGCCCCGAATGACCCTGATCACTGCTTCCTTCTCTTCGGCTGTGCAAGATGAGCCAATGTAGGTGACCTTCTGAGGGTCTCCGAGGACTACCTCTATAGCTTCGAGGGACTCCTCGGTAGGTGCTTTAGCCTCGGCTTCTTCCTCTGCCTTGAGATACTTGGGCAGAGGATTTTGTAACTGCTATTTGATTGCGCCTTTGGGATTCGCCTCTAACTGAGGTGATTTCGACGCCTTTTTTGCTTCATGTAGCGTTAGCATGTAACATTCTTTTGCAGCCACCTGGTCTCCCCAGAGGTCGATGACTTCCCTGCCATCTGGGGATAAACACCTCATTACTTGATGAAGGGTAGAGTGGACTCCGTTCATACGATGGATCCAACCTCTCCCCATAATGAGGTTATAAGATGGGTGAATCTCTGTCACGACAAAGTTCTCCTTCAGAGTCCTCTTTGCTGCAGTAACGGATAGATCGATCACCCCAAGCGGATTCACCTTAGTACCATCAAATCCCATTAGGGGGCTGGAAGTTGGCCTGATGGACGATGGTGAAACCCCCAACTGATCAAAAGCTGTTTTTGTAATGATGTTGGCGCTACTTCCCGGATCTATCAGCACTCTCCTGATCATATAATTCGCTACCAGGAGGCTGATGACCAAGGGGTCCTCATGCGGGCGCTGGACTCTTGAAATCATTGTTACCGAATCCAATGTTGATGCTGCCTGGTGCAACCGTGTTTACAGAGGACAATCTTCGTAACTTATGAGCCTCTCTCAGCCTGGATCTGTACAACTCTTCAGACTCTTCATCATCCTCTGACCTTCCGTGTATAGCATGGATAACCTTTACCTGACCACCCTCTACCCGTCAAGGGTTAACCTCCCGAGGTTTTACGTGCTCCTTCGTAGCGAGATACTCCACCACTTCTCCTCTCGCTATCATGCTTTCTACCTGTCGCTGTAGGGACCTGCAGTCATTGGTGGTATGCCCATAATCTCTATGGTAGGCACAATGTTTGCTTTTGTCCCTCTGCTCCAAGGGTTGTTTCATGGGCTGAGGAGTTGCGAACCCCGTCTTATTCTCTTGGAATAGGCGCGCTAAGGTAGTACGGAGTGGGGTAAGCCTGTCCTCTGTCCTTCGCCTTTTCTCAGACGCTTGGGTGACTTGTGTGGCGGTATGAGGAACCTTCTGCATCCTTGTGCTCGCAGCTTTCTCTCGAGACTTGTTTTCTACTGTGACGAGGGTAGCGTGCTGTGCACGGTAGGCTACGTTTTCCTCCAACCGAATGTAGATTTGTGCCCTAACGTTCAAAGTTTGCATATCCGGGGGGGAATATTTGACCAAGGATGTGTGAAACTTGGTTCCCTGGATCATTGCCAACTTAAATGTTTCGATTGCCGTGGCAGGGTGGCAATCTGCTATCTCCGAGGCCTCCATGTTAAACCTGGATAAAAAATCTTGCAGAGTTTCTCCCTTCCTTTGCCTTATGGTGAAAAGGCTGGCGATACTTTTCTTCTGCTTCTTATTTCCGCAATACTAGGCTAAGAACATAGTGCATCAGGTCTCATAGTCAGAGATAGACTTGTGTGGCCTATTCTTGAACCATTCTAACGCTGCTCCGGTTACACTGGTAGGAAAAACCTTACACATCCACGGATCGTTATGATCATCCAGTGCCATCTTTTGCGCATAATGATCGAGATGCCGAGAGGGGTCTCCTGCCCCATCAAACTGGGTGAAGGATGGCATAGTGAACTTCTTCGGCCTCTCCACAAGGTACACCTCGTCAGTAAAGGGGGTCTTGACCAAGGAGTTCTTGTGCTCTCTAGCCATCTCAGCTGGTGTCTGAACTCTCAAGAGCTTCTTTTCGTCGAAGGCATCTTGTACGCGTGCGCCATCTGGAACGCCATTAGACCATACCGTAAGCCTATGGCTGGACTCGGCCTGTTTGTCCTGTGTGCGATGCGGGAGATTATCCGAAGCAACCACCTCGGACCTCGTCCCTTGCTTTTGCTGAACCTCATTAGGTCGAGTCCCGTTGGGTGGTGTCTCGTTGGCTGGAGGCTCGTGAACCGGAGGTAAATTCCGGGTGGGGGGTGGTGCCGCAGCATCGCCTGGTGGTGGTTGTGGCGTTAGCCTAGCCATGGCCGTGTGCAGCGTATGAGTCTGCTGCTGAAGCGCAGCTATCTGGGCGACACTCGTATCGTTTGCTTGCCGGAGTGTCTCAAATTGGTGCAAGAACTCTTCTCGCATCTTTTGCATCAATTCTATCTGTTGATTCATTGCTGACTCTCCGTTTGACATTCCAGACACGACTAAAGGATTTAATTTGAAGAGCAAGTGGGAATATATTTTTATACGGTTCCCACAGACGGCGCCAAAGTGTAGGTGCAGAATTTTGCTCAACCAATAATGATTGAGAAAAATAAAACAACTCACTCAACGAACAATGAAAATAAACAAGAACAGTATATAGAGAAGCGTAGAATTGCTTGATCCTTTTATTGGAGGTCTTAGCCTCTATTTATATACAAAAGATTGCAAAATTATGGTAGGACTCACGTTGCTTGCCCTCCAATTCTTTCTATATAAACATTCTTTTCTAATAAAGTTCTTTCCATTGTCGAATTTTCCATACATAAAACTTGCCTTATACAGAACTTCCTATCTCAGAGTTTTCCTTCTACAGTAAATCCTTCGACTGGTAGGACTTGTGCATTCTTGGGCTGGATATATTTTGATCCGGCTGGGCTTGAGTAACAGGCCGGATGTTAAATAGTCATAAGCTTGGCTGATGACTTCTTGATTCGGCCTTGATGGAAGTTGGAAGATAAATAACAATGGTCTTGGGCTGTAAATACCCTCAATTTGGGTTTGAGCATGATGGGCCTTATATGTCCTTGGAATGTAGATATGGATAGTGGTAACGTGTGCGTTTTTTATTGGGGGGAGTTTTTTTCCCTCCACACATACATACATACATACATATATATATATATATAATGAAAGATACACAATTTAATTATATATATACATATATTAAAGTTTCACAGTGATTCAAACTTTAATTGCCAATAAAGAATATTAAGATGAAATCCTAATACAATGATAGGATTTTTTATATTTATTTGTAAAAATATTAAAAAGATAGTACTTTCTAAATATTTAATTACTTTATATTTTAAAATAAGGCTCATTATATTTAACGCATAGACAGCCACGTAGACTCGTACTGACTCATTTAGTATCACTAGCTTCTTCCACCCACCTTATAATTATACCCATATATATATACACACATAGAGTTCTACATTATTATAAACCAAACAAACAAATTCAACGGAAATCTTATCAAACTGGAAATATTAATAACAACATGATGAATTTTCAGTACGTTACTTTCTACTTCTATTTTTTAATTTTCTGGAGATAGAAAATTGGTGATAGAAAATTGTTCTTAACTAAAATAATCTAACCATATATATATATATATATATATATATATACATAGAGTACTACATTATTATAAACCAAACAAACAAATTCAACGGAAATCTTATCAAACTGGAAATATTAATAACATGATGAATATTCAGTACGTTACTTTCTACTTCTATTTTTTAATTTTCTGGAGATAGAAAATTGGTGATAGAAAATTGTTCTTAACTAAAAAAATCTAACCCGCATGGTACACTGGCCGTTGTATCCATCGGGGCTACTACGAATGCCAAATGAATATTCCAAAAAATAAATATAATATACTATACACACACTTATTTATAAGTAGTTTTTTACAAAAGCTCAAGACAGTAAACTCATCTCTACATTCTGCTAAAAAAAAAAAAAATCATCTCTACATTCATCTCTCTCACATAGTTTCAACTATGGATAGCAAGCTCCATTTTGCTATACTATCAAGCCCCGGCATGGGCCACCTCATCCCCGTTCTCATGCTAGGCGAACGCCTGGTCACCCACCACGATGCCAACGTCACTATTCTCGTCGTCACAACCCATTCGTCACCACCACCACAATCTCAGCTTCTCAACCTCCCCACCGCCCCCAAATCTCTCCGCATCCTTCACCTACCTCCAGTCGACATCTCCGGCCTATTAGACCCCGCCGCCACAGTCGTCACCCAGCTTGCAGTGATGATGCGGGAGGCTCGCCCGGCCATCCGCTCCGCCATCTCCTCCATGAACAGCCGGCCCCACGCCCTCGTCGTCGACCTCTTCGGAACCGAGTCTTTAGAGATCGCCGACGAGTTCAACATGCCCAAGTACGTATACGTCCCCAGCACTGCGTGGTTCGTCGCTTTCGCTTGCTACTGTCACGTACTCGATAAGGAGGTGACGGGTGAGTATGTTGATCAGACCGAACCGCTGAGACTTCCCGGTTGCAGGCCGGTCCGACCGGAAGATGTTGTTGACCCCATGCTGGACCGGAATGATCAGACGTATCATGAGCACGTCCGGATTGGATTTGAGTACTCGCTGTCCGATGGGATTTTGGTGAACACGTGGGATGATCTGGAGCCTACAACGCTCAGATCTTTAAGAGAAGATGAAACCCTCCGGTCGGTTGTTAAGGTACCGGTTTATCCGGTTGGGCCGTTGAGGAGGCCGGTCGAATGTTCCGGTTCGCGGAGCGAGTTGTTGAAGTGGCTCGACTTGCAACCCAGTGAGTCAGTGATATATGTTTCGTTTGGGAGTGGGGGGACGTTGTCGGCTCAGCAAATGACTGAGCTGGCTTGGGGTTTGGAACTGAGCAGACAGAGATTTGTTTGGGTAGTGCGCGAACCCATCGAGGGTAGTACGGATGCGTCGTTTTTCAAATCAAGAAGCGATATTTCCGATAATACCATTGACTATCTGCCGGATGGGTTTTTGAACAGGACCCACAAAGTGGGAGTTGTGGTCCCACTTTGGGCCCCCCAAGTGGAGATCCTGAGCCATCCATCAGTAGGGGGGTTTGTATCGCACTGCGGTTGGAATTCAAGTTTGGAGAGCATAGTCCATGGGGTGCCTATGATTGCATGGCCACTCTATGCTGAGCAGAGACTGAATGCTGCTTTGCTGACGGAGGAGCTTGGCGTGGCGGTCCGGCCGAGGGTGCTGCCGACAAAGAAGGTGGTGGGAAGGGAGGAGATAGAGAGGATGGTGAGGACTGTGATGGAGTGCAAAGAAGGGAAGCTGATGAGAGAGAGAGTGAAAGAACTAAAATACAGTGCAGAGAAAGCTTTGAAGAAAGATGGATCCTCCTATAATTCACTCTGTGAGGTGATTAAGGATTGTGACATTAGACTAGAATCACATAAGGCCAAGGTTGGCTAGAAAACTACGTTAGGACTTGTGAGCCATGAAATTAAAGGGACGGTGAAAATGGATTGCAGATCACAGTTCTTGGCATATGTACGTGTCTTTTGTACTTTTGGCATGTAAAGAACCAAGTTTGATTGTTTTTGTAAGATTTTTTTTCGTCCAACATTACTACTCCATAGGTTATGCTTTCCTTCCTTCCTCAAAAAAATTAACTTAAGCTTGGATGGTCACGTGACTATTCTCTATTCATATATGTCTTGATTCTTTATACAAATGTGTGTGTATAACCATTATGATCATATTACCGTTCAAATATATATATACATATATATATATTGATCATATTATAATACAATATCCACGTGTATATGGATAACATTATGGAAATTAAATTGAGAATTAATGCGGGTTAAGTAATTGAGGTCAGGTGACACTCCATGAGGCAAGTTTACTTTAGGGTGCGGGTTGGGCACGAGTTTTGACCAAAATTTAAGTGTCACTTAATATTACCGTTCAAGAGTCATCAAATTTTAAATCAGACTTAAATTGAGCACGAGTTTTGACCAAAATTGTAGCTGCAAATACAATCCATTTACATCTCTCTGGGACCAAAGTTGATCTTCTTTTAGAAATTATTTATTAGCTGTAACGAGAGTTTTTTTATGTAGGAAGATCATTTATATATGTTGGGGTTTGCTAAACAAGTACCATATGATAATTATTATGAGATTGACCGTGACAATAAAATAATTGACTTTAAACTAATTCCTGCATCTTTTTCCTTGACATTAATTAACCAAGTCGGAATCACATCTTTTCAAGTTGACATTAACCAAGTTGGAATCACTTCTTTTAAATTATCATATGGTACTTGTTTAGCAAACCCCAACATATATGAATGGTCTTCCTACATATAAAATCTCTCATTAAAGCTAATAAATAATTTCCAGAAGAAGATCAACTTTGGTACTAGAGAGATGTAAATGGATTGTATCTGCCGCTACAATTTTGGTCAAAACTCGTGCTTGAATGCCAGCAAATGTGATGATTCTAGTCGCCCACAAAATTTGATCTAAATGCTTGAATTTATTTAATAATGTGTTTGTAATTAATTTGTCACAACAAGTTGTTGATCTCTCACAAAATTCGATTTAAATGCTTTAAAAATGAGGGGATGAGAATTGTTAGTCAACTAACCCCATTCGTTCTCACTCTATTATTTTTGCATTCGTACGTAAAGCCCGTCTATGTCTCTACATTAATATGAAATTAAGTTTATTGCATGGGAAACGTGGGAATGCATGTGCCACTTTGGAAGACCGAAACTTCTTCTTTTTCTTTTTATTGGATTAATTTCACTTATCTTTGTCGATATCTCATATAGACACTCTCTACTTTTCATAATTTTACTTACCATATTTGAGGTTCTTGTTTAGCAATTTGTTCCCAAGAAAATATCATTTTTATTTTTTATTTTTTTATGATACTATATTTTTTTTGTTATGTCAAGTGAGATTCTGGCATTGTACATCATTTCTAATTTTTTTTTTTAATATTATTTATTTCAATATATATATATACACACACACACACACATACATGATCTTTCTTGCAAATATTCTATTCTAATTCTATAATTTCCATATATTTTCCTTCCATTCCTAGAACTCTCCTTATATAAGAAAATATAATATATCTCTCTAAATTTAATATAATCTCTCTCTCTAATTTTTTTTTTTTTTTTTTTTTTTTTTCTCTCTAAAATTTCTCTGTGCTATTGATACTAAGTATCTCTCTCTAAAACAGAGCACCTGGAATCAGCAAACCCCAAAAAATTTCATAGTATTAATAGAGAGCTAGAGAGCATAATCGGGAAGATGTTACTTGACTCGATCAAAAAAATCTGCAATCCAATTCCAATCTTTTCAAAAAGATCAAGAGAAAAAATTAAGAGGTAGAAATCATAAAAAAAATAGAGAGGAAATTAGATAGAAAATTATTTATTGTATTTAGATGAGGCCATGTCAAAGCAATGTTAGGAAGTTTGGATCAATTTTATAAGTATTTTCATTTGTGTGGACTTGTTTATTTTTTATTTGCAATTTTTTACGCTTGCATGCTCTTTTTTCAAATTTTAACTTTAAGCACGAATACAAAATGTCATTAATTTTTTACTAGTTAAGCATTATTATCTCAATCTTTTATAGATAGTTGGATTTATTTACGGATATGGAATAAAAGATAAGGCTGGTGGGTGAATAGTTAAGCAGTGGGTTTATTTTATGGAGTATGTATAATTATACAGAGTATTGTTATGTTAGGGCAGACGAAGAATATTGAAAACATGAATTTAAAGTTACTTTTGACATTTTGTCTTCTTTTTTTTGTTTGGTTTTTTGTTAATGATAAAGTAAGATTAATTTAGTAATTTTACTGTTAAAATTACGATTTGTTCAAAGTAGAAGGATTTTTTAAATAATAAGAAATAATTACACATTTTATATATTATGAGGGGAGTTTTTTTTACACCTAACCCTAATAATAATAATAATAATAATAATAATAGCATCTTCGCCAGGACACCTGTCCCTACTCGAATAAGTCTGTCCTTTCCCTGCATACAAACAATGTCAAAATAGATATTATTTATTGACTTGATTCTTTAACCTTCAAGATGAAGAACACAAACTAAATCTAAGGGTTAATATGAAGACACGTAAAGATCGACGAGTTGATTTACCTACACTGCACAGACCAAATGGACGTCACCGTTTCTTTCTCCTTGTCCTCTAACTTTCTCTCTCTACACCCACCAAAGACACTGTTGCTCTCTCTCTCCTCCGATTCCAAACAGACATTAACGTAAACTTTCATACCCTAATTCCCTCGTCGGAATCCGCCATCAGATTCTTTTTTGTGTTTCTTCGCCGCCGGTCTACCAAGCCGTAGAACACGTTAATGTTATGAACTAGGTTCACCAAAAGTAGACAAAGAGTGGAAGAAGAAGATGACAGCGAGGACCAAAACTCGGTCAGAAATGACGAGCAGAAACACCACACACAACTGTTTGGTCTCGGCCTCTTGCTTTTGGGTTTTGTCGGGTACGGTGAGGGAAACATGGTGATGGTAGTCTGGATACAGACGGTTCAATCATCGGTTCAGATCGGGTTTCTGTAAAATTTCCGATTTTCTCTTGAAAACTTCCGGCGGTACAGAAAAGAGACAACTCTGAGACAATCCACAATTTGAGACCACTCAAGGGACTCCAAAAGATCGGTCTGTTAGAGACTTAGAATTAGAAGACGAAAAAGAAGACGATTTCGTTGGGGACTGGGCATTTGAGATTGTTGTTAGAGAGGCCTAATCGGGGCAATCGGCCAAGAGAAGCTATCGTTGATTTAATACCGCCGGGAAGTCATTGCCGTAGAGGTATACAAGTTTGAGATTAGAGCAATCAACAATTGGGTTAACAGTGCCATTGAGCGATTGTTGTGGGAATCGACAATTAATGCAGATGAGGAGAGAGAAACGGTGTAGTTACTGAAAAGTTAACGTCCGTTTGGTCCCAAAGGGTGCAATGTAGGTAAGTGAGTCCTCCTCTTAATATTAACCTCAGATTGAGTTTGGAGAGAACCACATGTAATATAAAAATTAGAGAAAAGTGCAAAAAAAAATCTCCTTGAGCTATTGAGGTTTTGCAACTAATTCCCTTGAATTACAAAAATCTCTCTGAATTATGATTTTATGGCAAGAAACCCCTTAAACTATTGATTTATTACATTTCGGTAGGTGACTTGGTCGGAAACATTTAAAGACAAATCTACCCTTATTTAAAACTATATCGTTTTGAGAGTTATGCTATAAACCAATCAAAATATGCCAACCTTCTCTTCAGAAAAAGAAAAAAAGAAAAAAGAACGGGCTAGCATCCACAGAAACCTTCCTTCCCCATCCCTTTCCTCTGACGCCCACCGCCGTCGCAGCCATCGTCTCCCCGCTTATACCGCCACCACATCTGAACCATAGTTGTCGCCACCACTTCTCCTCAACCACAGCCGCCGCCACCATCTCTTAACCACAGCGAGCCCCGCCTCCTCTACATAGCCATCTCCGCCGCCCCATGCGGCCACTGTCGTCAATTCCTCCAAAAACTCCGCAATGCCTCTGACATCCAAATCCTCATCACATCATCATCATCCGAGAACGAATCCCAAGATCCCCCAAAATTCAAACCCTTATCGTCAATCATCCCCAACCCATTTGGCCCTTTTGATCTCTTAGTCTACTTCTCAAGTCACATAATAATGGGTTATGGTTTTTGAGTGAAACTATTGATTCAAATCCTGGTAATTCTAGTAATTTGTGCAATGGGTTTTGCGAATTTTGATCTCTATTCATGCTCGGCTTGACTGTGGAGAAATCAGCTGGTGGAGACGATGACAGAGAGCTCAGATGGTGGAGCTCTGACCGGCGAGGTTGGTGGAGATAGACGGCAGGCAAGAATCGACTGGTTGTGGAGAGCTTAGCTGTTGGCTCGGCCGTGGAGAGCTTGGGGTGGTGAGCAGCGGGCTATGATGGTGAACTCGCGTTGCAGCTCACTGAAATCCAACTCAAACTCACAACCAGTCGGACACGAATATACATATGCGCGCAGAGGGAAGAGAGAGATGGGTTCGGTTTTTTTTTTTTTGTCTCCCCCAAAAGTATGCAAGGACTCAAACTCACACACACGCATATATATATATATATATATGTGCACAGAGAGAAGAGAGATAGATTTGGGTTGAGTGGCAACGAGTCGATTTTTCTGGAGTATGACGACAAACAGCGAGTTATATGGAGTTAGTATTTTTGGGAATTTTGGGAAATAGGTTTGGTCCAGAGAAGTTAGCAGTTGAAAACGGGTTGTGTGAACGGCGATTGGGTTGTACGCTTAGGCCATCGATTGGCGATTGACGGTGCCGACGATTAGGTTGTGCGACTGGCGACGACGATGATGGGTGCTAACGGCG